TACCGAATATCTTTATTATCCAGTATGTTAATTTGAATTTAAAAGTACAGTAGAGAACCGATTATCCGGAACGATCGGGACTATCGCTATTCCGGATAACTGATTTTTCCGGTTTTCTGAATCGCTACAAAAAGCCGTTTTCTTAGTGTTAAACCTAACTAAAAAAAAAATATTTGGAAATAATCTTTCAAACAAGAAAAAACGATGAGGTAATACACTAATGATTATTTCTGAAATGATGGTAAGGTAAACATCTTTCAAAAAAGAAAGAAAAATCGTAAAATCTTATGAGGAAAAAAAAAAAAATTTTAAAAATTGCGGAAAAATTTATCGAATTTCGTTCCGGTTTTTTGGTTTTCCGGTTTTCTGATTTCCGGATAACGGGTTCTGTACTGTATTATAATTTTGAGAAGTTGCAGTAGCTTAAAGTAAGCTTTTTCTAATAATTTCATTATGGAAAATTCCTACTATACAATTTTCACCTATTGGTCTGGATTAATAAGCTATCTTTAGTCAATTATGAGTGCATGATTGCTAATCCTGAGATATTATAGTGTATTATTTGTTTTCTCATACTTTCTAACTTATTTTTCTGGGTGTCCAAAAAACAGGAAGTTTAACTAAAGCACCCAAAAGAAAGTATGAAAAAATGAATAAATTTTGTTTGAGTTACCTCAAAGTCCCATGTTTTTTTTAAATAAAATTGGTTTTGTAATGATTATTTTTTGAAAAAAAGATGTCTATTTTTAACTCTAATGACTCAGTTAAATGTTTTATAATATATTTTATGCTTAAGAACATGGCATAGTTAAAAAAATTATTAATGAAACTTATGCCACTATTTACAAAAAATAAAGGAAATTCAATTTGTGAAGAAAAATTTGGAAATTTATTCTCCAAGCTCTTATGACTACACTGTTTTTGAATCATGTATAGATTTTTTACTTTGAGTTTGATGAGGCTTAACTGCCTTTTATGTCATTCTTTTTATTGTCATTCTTTTATGTCATTCTTTTTATTGCCTTTTATGTCATTCTTTTTATTGTCATTCTTTTTATTGCCTTTTATGTCATTCTTTTTATTGGATTACCAATCTAAGTCCTTTATGCTTTTTTTCATTTTTATAGAAATAATTTGAATATTCCAGTAATAAAATCTATTACTTCACCTTTTTGATTGCAGCTTGTACAGTAAAAGTAACAGAATAACAGATAGTAATATGCTAACCTCTGTATAAAATTCATATTTTTAAGCTTTTATTTTTTAGAGACTTTTAAATTTTAGAATCCCGTATGATAAACAAGTTAGCGCAGATGCTTCAAAAATCTATGAAATTATGTACATCTAACATCTTTCAGAAAAATCGATAATTTCAATGTCATTAAGCTAATATGGTATCATTAAGCTAATATGGGGAGAACTAAAATTAATATGGTACATGAATTATATGGTACATTTAATATGTTAATATGAATTAATATGGTACATTTTTAAAAAAAATCACTTAAAATTATTTATTTATTTAAAATAAATATTTCGAAAGAAGGAAGATTCTTAAAGTATATGATTCGAGAATCATACGGAATGATATGTCAATATCGTTTGTTTACATGTCCTGAAAAAAATTAAATATTACATGATTCCTTAATGAGGATTTATTACTAGCTATTAAATATGAAGGCATCAAATATAATGTATCATCCTTTTTTTTATATTACTTTCAAAAGTTCATTTATAAAATTTAGTTAAGTTATCTAATGGAACACTTCAAAGGTGAAATGTTTAACTTCTTATGTATTTGAGAGAAGAAAAAAAAGACATATGATTACATTTCCTAAAATTAATGTTATATTTTGACTTTTTTTCTATTTAACTTGTTGAATGTATTTTAGGCAAAATATTCAATTATCTAATGAAGTACGAGATAAACTTTTAGAAGCTCGCCCTTCAAGTGTAAGTATTATTTTTTCTCATGCTAATTTTTTTCTCATGCAATGCTTTTTGCCATTTTATTTATTTGTGTGGTTTTTTTTGCATCATAAACTAACAACTGTAATGTTTATATATAGTATTTTATTTTATCAATTGCATCGGGAATTACAAAGTGGTTTTTTATTTACTGATTGAATCATAAAATAACAATTAGAAAAATTTAAATATTGTATTTTAGAAACTGATTTTTGCATGTATATTAATTTTTTTGGAGTTTATAAGGCATGGGAGTATGACTTAAATATTTATAAAGTTAATCCTTTTCTCAAAGTATGACTTATATTTAGTTTAATTAAATATTTTTAATTATCAAATATTTTGGTTGTGAAATTTTAATATTTTTCTATTGTTTTTTACATCAAAAAATAACTGTAACTGTATAATAATTTCTTCAGAAACATTTCAAAATTTTAACTTCTTAGAAATAATGCAAAGCTGTAAAAATCTGACTGCATTATTTTTTAGTAAAGATTTATTCTTTCTAGCTATTGATTTCTAGAATACAGTTTATGCTTAGATTTATTACCAGACATCGATTTTAATTTGAACAAACTTTAAAATTAATTTCATTTGTAATCAAATTTATTACGCTATTGGTTATATATACATATATATATATATATATATATTATATCGATATATTTTTTGCATCATAACTGAGAAAATGTTAACTGAAATATTGTTAGTTATATCTTTAAGTGGGGAAATGGTTATAACATTTCTAATGCTTTTTGCCGCACTGTACTGAAATTGGACAAAATTATAGAAATCCTTCTAAGCTAACAATTTTTCTTGTAGCAGTAAATTTTTTGGAAGGTCTTATACGGCAAAACTGTTAGCAGAATTTGAAAGATCATACTCGGAAGCTTTTAGAAATTGTGAGATTTTTACCCCTTCAAAATAGGCATCGACAAAAATGAGTGAAGAAAGTTGAAAGCTACTTTCCTTTTTCTATACCACTATAATTAAAAATGCCTTCTCTATTATATTTTGATATTGTTAGAATGATTTGAAAATTGCTGGTTATAAAACTATTAACTTCTCTCTACATTTTGGTTTATACGAATTTTGTATGCGAAAAGAATGAAACCATTTTTAAAAATTTCATGCATGATCTTTCAGGTTGTGCCAACAGTTTTTTATGGTAAAATCTTCCAAAATAGATATTTTTGTTATAGTATTTTTTTCAGATTTTGGTCATGAAACAAAATCCACTTGTGTCGAACAATTAGATATTTATTTCCGAAACTTGAATATACTCTTTAAAACTTTACTCGAATCAAATTTCTCACCTTTTTCATTTTAATTTAAAAACTCTAATCGACAAGATAGAAACCAATTATATTTCAACAAAGACAAATGCTTTATAAATTCATACAAACAGAATTTTTTTTTATTAATGTTTTTCAAATGGTGAAATTGTACCAAATGTTGTTAAACATTGAATCGTAAGGAGATATATTAAACTTTGAGTCAAAAAGAGGTATAAAGAGTGGTGATTATTAAAAACCTTGTCTAAGCAAAGTTATGAAATGTGTGAATGGACTCTTTTAGCAAATAGGCAAATGAAGACCGCATTTATATGAATTATAACTATAGAATATGTATAAGTACCAAATTTTAATAGTTCTTTACTCTTATTAACTATCTAATATGTATTTTGTTCAAATGTAAATTTTATTTTTAGCTTGGTGCTGCAAGACGAATTCCTGGTATAACAGCCTCTGCTTTAACTTCTTTATTGTATTATGTAAAAAGGCAGAAAACATCATATAATTTATAGGCATCATTTTCTCCATATTTTGTAAATAAACTTTAATGAAACAAAGAAATTGTTGTTGTGCATCTTAATTTGTGTGTGTGTATCTATACATATATATATTATGTACATTAACATTAAAAAGCTTTATCTTTTCTTAACCCACAAATCTTTTATATATGATCACTAATTACTGTTTCATATAAATCTGAAATTGAATAATGCGAAAAAATAGAATTTTGATATTAGTATTTTATGAGATAATTTCAGACCCCCTCCATCTTTCAATGCTAAAATAACCCCTTAATAAACTTTGCTTTGCGAAATCATATGAGTTGGGTTAATTACGGTATCAGATATGTGTTGGAATTTGTTTAAAAAGTCTTATAATTAAAGGAACTGTTTTCTATTATTATGAACTCATTGTTTTTATTTTTAGAAATACAATGAGTTAAAAGGGATTTTGCAATCAAAAATTTACTTCTCAAAATTTAGATTTGCTTTTTAGATTTTGATAAAAACTATTTTATTAGAGTACAGTACTCAGAATAAAAAATCATTTGAATAACTTTTGGTTCAGGCATCAGATTTTCATATACTATGATAATATTATCTAATCAAAGGTTTATGCAGATATTATTTAAAGTTGTAAAATCCAACACAGAGATGCACTTTCTCTGATTGAACATACTTTTTTCTCAATGAATGAGAAATCAAAATGAGAGAGGTATGAATCACATTCCTTCAGATAACTATTTGACTTACTTTAATAGTATAATATGCGAAAAGGAAATCATTATTATGGGAATTAAACTTTTAACAACTACTCTCCCAATTGAATTATTGGGACTGCATTTTCCAGATTGCACCTCCCTCCCTATGAAATTGGGAATCAAAATTTGTTCTAAAAATGAAGCAAAATTTTTCGCTTATATAAAATTGAAAATAATAAATTCTTTTTAAAAAAATATTTCATCTTAATTATAAACATTGTCAACAAAAATTTGTGAACTTGATTTTTAAGCAAATTTCATTTTCAATTTTAGCAACTTATGCGAGTGTAAAAAAAAGTACCGAAATAACATTGATTTCCTCTTTCAAGCACTAAAATATTTTTTGTTTAAATATTGTATCTTGATTAGTTTATGTTATTTTGCAGTTGCTATTAATATTTAAACTAAGCTTCTTCATTACACAGTGATTCGGGTATTGGCCGTCCTAAATAATATTTCTTGTCAGAAAAAGGCAAATAAACAAATTAATCTTAGTCGCAAATTAATATTTAGACCTGAAAAAAAACCAAAAACTCTATGAAGATCTAAAAAACCCATACTGGGAAGGTGGAACAAGAAACACCAAACCTGTTTAATTGCTTGATGAAATAATTGCTTTTTAATTACTCTCCATTTCTTCTGGCAATCTAATTAGTTTTTTTTTATTTTTTAGTTCTACTTTTCTCTGTAGTTATTCCATAGCGCTTTTGTTTTTTCCCCTCTTTAACATTAATTTGTGGCCCTAAATGTATATATTTATTTAGCTTATAAGTTTTAAAAGGGATTTTCAAAATAAATATGGTCTTTAAAATTTTTCCACGTATTTCTGACCCTCAAAATATAGTAGTATATGCAGTTGAAAAATATGGCTTTAATAGTCTTAGCAGGAAATCAGTCAATTATTTCCGCTCATTTCATTTATATTCCAGGGTTCCCACGGTCCTTAAAAGTCCTTAAAAACTGCTTAACTTTTATTTTGGAAAATAAGGGCCCTTAAAAGTACTTAGTTTTGGTACAAGGTTCTTAAAAGTGCTTAATTTTTCAGCATCACTATAGTTGATATGAACAATTTTTCAGTACGATGTTTTAAAACAAAAAGTCATTCTTTTATCTCCTAGAATTAGATCATGCACGGTGAGTAAGGCATTTTAGAGAAACAAGAAGGGATGTGTGTGAGATGGCTACAGGCAAGGAGAAGAAAGCGTGTCTCTTTATTAATATATTGGTTCTTTCATTAATATATTCTGCCCTTTGCCTCGAATGATACTCTATGAGCCCTGTGGCAGAATTTTTTTGGGCTTTCTGCGACTATCTTCTCTAGCACTAATATTTTTCTGCAAGATACTTTTAATAACTAATATACATGTTATTAATTAAATTTAAAGTAACAGAAACGTTGTATTTACAAAGAAAAGCCTATTTGGATATAATAAAATTTTATGTATTTTTTTTAAATAATGAATATGTAATATTTTTTTATTCTAATATCATGGGCGATATTCTCACATTTTGTAAGAGGAAAACACACTAATTATTTCTTTTTTCGCATTTCCTAAATCATCATCACATAGAAAAATAATAATTAAAAATCGTAAAATCAGTGAAAGAAAAGAAAACCAAAATTTTTTATTTTTCCCAAAAGGAAATTTAAAAAAATCACGAGCATTTCTTCCCCTCTGATGAGTGAATAAGGTATCTCTTGAGTATAATTGTGGTGGGAAAAAAATCTTTCTAACATTTCTGCAGAAAAGAAATTTTTTACTTCAATATTCTTTATTTTTCATTCTTCTCAAATAAGAATCGAAAAATTAAGAACATTTCTTTCCNATGTTTCACTGAGAACTATTAAAAAACATATTTGGAACATTATAGTTTGAAAATTATAAATCTTAAACATAATTGTATTTTTATTCTATAAAAATTTTATAAAAATCTTTATTGCAGTGAATTTAAAAAATATATATATTAAGCTAAGTCTAAAGAAAAAAAAGTGGAATGATTCAAGGTGCTTAGATATTAGTATGACCCGTTTTTACTTAAAATAGGACTTAATTTGACATGACATAGTTAAGAAAACTACTCTCATGCATTACTTTAATTCAACTTCTTAGTATTAATTTTTTTAAAATATATATCCTTATAAATGAAACATTTTGTTAGTAGAGAAAAATAATTTTTTTGGTATAACTGAATATTTACCAAGATTGACCCACAGCTGAATATGTGATGCATGTCTAGTAGCGAAATATAAAAACTTGTAATAATTTTTTCAATATTTTTCCAAAATTTCTTTATTTACTCTAATACATTTCTGCGCCTAATTTAACAATTCAATTTCAATAAAATGATTAAAAAGGGAATACAGATAATTTTCATAGATATCCTTAATAATCTGAAAATGTTTTAAAAAAATCCAGACCTGGGTTTACAAAAGTTGTCTGGNCCTAATTTTACAATTCAATTTCAATAAAATGATTAAAAAGGGAATACAGATAATTTTCATAGATATCCTTAATAATCTGAAAATGTTTAAAAAAAATCCAGACCTGGGTTTACAAAAGTTGTCTGGTTCCTACTTTGGCGAGCCCTGAAACAATTATTAAAACAATTTTATCAGTACTTACATTGTAATAAAATTGTTGTTTGTTATTTTTTTTATTATTGATTTTTTTTAAGAAAGTTAAATAATTAGCACTGTCACTGGTAGTATATATTTATTCGATGATAAACGATCATACTACTTTTAAGGTCCTTAATTTTTTTTAAAAAAGTCCTTAATTTTTTCAAAAAAAGTCCTTAAAAGTGCTTAATTTTTGCTTTGTTAAAAGAGTGGGAACCCTGTATTCTTGCGTTTATCATTCTATCTCTGAAACTACTTTAAATTTAAGATATTTGGACGTATTTATCAACTTGTTTGTCTATAATATGTTTTGTTCATGATATCCTTTAATTTCCATATTCATAGTTGTCTTCTAATTGCAAAAATTTTAATTACTCTTGATGTAACAATGCATACTCATTCGTGCATCAAAACTAGAATGTCTCAATAACTAATAGTTCTTAATAATCAGATTTTGTATGTCCACTTACTAACATGCAATCTTAATCGTTTAAGGTAAGATTAAACATTCCCCAATAGTCCATTGTGAGACAGGAGGTTAAGGCTCCACAATTACATGATCAGCGATAGGATTTTGGTTAGCATTGTGCACAGACCGCTGCACGTCTCAAACAAGCTGATACTCATCGCTCTGAAGCTCAATAGTAATAATATCCCATTTAATATGCACTTCAAATGTGCGCATCATAACTGATATTCGACTTTGAGTCAAAGATATATATTCAGGGCTGATTGTGCTCCAGAAAAAATCCGGATTTCCAGATTTTTCGCTAACAGTGATCCGGAGATCGAAGGTCCAGACGTTTCCGGAAAACAAATTTGCAAAAATGGAACTTAAAAGCGCAGTTTATTTTATTTGTTTGTAAGGGAGAGCCAGAGAGATACTTAATAAGCTTATATTCATGATTAATATTCATTTTTTATCATAACTAGTTATTATAATCATAAACTCAGGAAAGAAAGACATATTTGTAAGTTTTAATTACTTCTCCTGGTCCTCATAGAGATGTGTAATTTTAAATACATTTTAAGTAAACTAAGAAATATTGAAAAAAAGGAAGAAAAAAACCTTGTTTAAATTTTTTTCAATTTAAACGGTTTTTTTTTTTTTTTTTTTTAAACTCGGGAAATTTTCCGGAATTTTGACTTGGGCTCACAATCACCCCTGTATATTCTTAGCTATAGTTACTTTATAATGTTTCTATGCTGTAAAATAAGAGTTTTACAATTAAATAAAAACTAATATTTAATAATATACACATGAAATTCCTGAAAAATGTAAAAACAATTAACTGCCTTTGCGACAATTGAGTCTGCCTTCAGAAACTCATAACTTTGCTTCTGCTGCACATAGATCCTGCTGTTCCCGATGTCCTTATTCTGCGTACTTACTCGTAGACTTACTCTTTGCGATTTCTCTAAGAGCTTGTGGTCTTCAATCACTGAGCATTGTCACTGAGACAAAATATGCTAATAGTTCCTGGTTTTTCCTAACGGAATCGTAAACTTGCGGTTTTTCATTTATTAGTCTCATACTCTTGATTAACCAATCGTAAAATGTTACTTCCCCACCCCCACATGAATTGATCCTCTCCGACCCCGCATTCAGCGGTAAAGTGATCGATTCGTACTCAGGCACGAGCTGCTTTGTGGCTTTCAGTTTCCTAATCTGAAGCATTGTA